GCTTTCATACACGCTAATGGATCGTGCTCTGAATGAAAAATATATATTATTCTTCTTTCGTGTGTTTTTGATTTTTATTTTATAATTCCTGTCCTAAAATTTATGGACTGCTTTGTGTATATAAATTTTAAATTTATTTTTAACAAAATTTATTATACATTCTTTTTACCGAAAAAGCTGAAGATAAAAAATTAAAAAAGTTAAGCTATAAAGGGATTTATTTCTATTTTAAAACTGAAAGTCAGAAGTTATGAGCTTTGTTTAAAAACATTTTCATGTTTATTTTTAACATATATCTTGATTCTCTAAAGGAAAATTAAGATGAAGATGTTCTTGTTCCATTTTCCAGCTGATTAAAATTTATTAATTTCGCTAAAATCTTTACCATATCCTTCCACTCTCAAGAAAAAACATTATCGAGATACCAAAAGTATATTAAGAATCCATTAATCTAGAATTCGGTAAAAGAATTTCGATATGTGACAATAATAAAAAGTTTTAAAAAATGGAGTTAAAGTAAACATGTAATGGCTCCTATGTCAACGAAACTTTGACAGAAAAAGTTCAATTCGGGTCAAGGACTCGGCTTCTGAAAATTATCCAAAGTTTCTCTAAATTAAGAACAAAACAAATATTAATTTTATAGATTATATTCTTGGAAAAATAGCGAATATCTTTTCAAAACATCAAAATGTTCCACTTCTTGTATATTAATAAATATAATTTTGAAAATATGCCAAGTTCAGCTCGCATCACATTTTTATTTGCCTATAGAATAGCGGTAAAGGAATTTTTTGGCCTTCCTTTGTGGATAAAAAGTAATAAAGAGAACCAATGATTCCATACAAGAATGAAAGGAAAAAAAATCCACATTCTTATCGACTTTCGCAAAAATTTATTGCTTTTCCTCCATTTTTTCCTCATTGTTAACTTTTATACTTTAACTCAAAACTTGCAAGAAGTTTTTACTTTTTTTATTTTTTTTCATATGTAAGAAAATTGAATATTGTAGTTTCTAAAATATGATAATTACACAATTTAAATTCTGTAATTTTAGTTTTAAATATTTATATATGAATAATTTTGATAAAGTTCAGCCAATGTAACTTCAATCTATAATACATTTAATCTACTTTTTATAGCCTGAACTCATACGTAGATGTTAATTTTTATTAAATTTAATTATATTTATACATCTTAACAGATTTAAGATATTTAAATAAGCAACATTAACATATATTTTTTTTTTTCTGAAAGTAAATTTTATAAGCCGATTATATGAGCATTTTAAGACAAAATCATTTAATTTTGTTAAAGACAATGATGTTATACCGCTCTAAGTATTCAAATACAAAGAAAATAGTTTCTGGATGATACTTTATTCGTGTATAAATGTTCCAAAAAAAGATGACACGTTATAATTTAAAGGTTCATTCGTTTTGTAAGCAATATCTATACAACATATCATCGTCACGAGACATATAAAATAACATTTTATGCTAAAAATAACATTAAACATAAGCAACTACTGTTTCTTCTTCTAACAGTTGTTATAAGTCTTGTAAATATACGACATTTTAAACATAGTAATACTATTAGGAATTTGTAAGATCTTAACAAAAATTAAAGAATTGTACCGGGTGTTTGTTGGTTTGTTGGTTCAACTCATAAAAGCACGATTCATGTTTTTCAACTCAAAAGTGTATCAACTGTTAAAAACCACGACAATTAACAGAAATTATGGCAAAAATTAGTAACAATATGTCACGTATGAATTAGGATTTAAATTACCAATAAAAAATGCATAATTTTCAAACAATATAGAAAAATTTTGGACTCGAGATAAGTAATTTTGTGTTTTAAAAAATGCTTTAAGTACATTGATCGCTAATGACGAAGAAAGATTTCTAATGACAGCTTCTTAATTGCACTTGATACACGAGTGAAAGGTGGTCATTAAAGAAATTTGAATGAGACGACACGTTGCAAGATCCAAAGTATCATGAAAATGGTTCATGCTGCAAGATATCATTTGCATCAATGTACTAAAGATAATGCTTTAAAAAATAGTCATGTAAGAAACCTTTCAAACTTTCATTGATTTAAATTATCCTTAATGAAAATACTTAAGTTTTTTTTTTTAAGAGAAATAATGTTTAAATGTTTAATTAAAATTTTTTTATGCGGTACAAGATTTTCATACTTAAATGCTTTTGTAAACATTATTATGTAGGAGGAAATCATTTAAAATGAATTTTCAAGATTAAAATTTAAAAAAGTAAATAAAAATTAATATAATTTTAATTAAATAATTGGGTATTTCTTAATTAATAAGTATTTAAATTAAGAATCTATGAGAAAATGGTGTCGGCGTTACTAGTTACGTGCTTTGAATTTTGTTTATATAAATAATTCTTAAAATCTTAAATATATAAGTTTGTTTTTGTTTATATATTTTAACGCTTTTAAAACACATTTAATTAAAAAATACTTTAAAATTCGATAAATCTTGTACGAGTCAATATAACAATAGATCTCCAATCGTTATTTAGATTTAATTCTATTTATATAATAAAATATTGACTATTTGTTTAAAAAAATAATTTAATTATTTAAAGATTAAATATTTCTATTGTATTACAAATTACTTAATACTTTATCTCATAAGAACAAAAATTACTGTTACTTCTGACGTAAATTACATGCGTTACTTTACTTTTCTACGGTATATAATTTTCTTTTCTATGTTTTCAATCTGTTCCTTTTGTATTTTTAATGGTAAGAACGAAAAGATAATACAAATCTAGCGTTAATTAGGAGTTACCTTGAACCCATGTAACAGTTAGTAGCAAAGTTGGTGCAATGAATCACTTTATGTGACACCAATTGCATTCTTAGCGAAGGTCACTCTTGTAACAAGCTGACTTTGCTTTTCCATAATACATTTATTGCTCTTGTCTTACATGATCATTTTTTAGATATTAGAATAAAAAAAGGCAAAAATCTAAATAAAATTCTCAAAAGTGAAAGTGATACGTGTATATACTTTCAGCATCATTTATCTCGATGATGTTTTAATATGTTTATCAAAAGTTTTGACACTTGTAAACAAGTAAAATATTTTAAAATAATTTATTTTTAGACGTTTTCAAATTTTTGTTTTTTTAATAGTGTTTTTAATCAGAAATTTTTATTTAGAATATAGGAAAAGTTATTTAAATTATTCAAAGATTTAATAGTTTTAATATTTCATTATTTTTATGTAACTTAATATTAGATTTTTGAAAAAAAAAATTTACATTTTAATTTATTTAAACAATTCAAAGATTTAAAGGAAATTATTTTTCACAAAATTTAGCATGATAAAGAATTAAAATTTAGCTTTTAATTATTAGTTTTTAATTGTTTCGTATGTTAAAACTATTTAACAAATTATGAAATATAATTGAATCCGTTATATAGTTATATAAAGTTATTTTTTTTACAAAATTAAATAAAGTTTAGATCATAAAATAATGATTTTTCAGATGAATATGTTCTGTACTAATTTATAAAATTGTTTGCTTGAAGTGATATTTTGTAGAATTGAACTTTCATTTTAAAATGGACGTATAAATTTCTTATTTTCTGTTAAAAACTGCAGTTTGAATTTAGTTAAAAACTTAAATAGCTTCGTAACTAATTTGTAAATAGATAGTTAAGAGTAGTGTAAATTATATAAATATTTACTCATTTTTCTTTTCTCAATTAGGTGGAAAATTATAATTTTGTTACAAAATATGGATTTCAATCGGTAGGTCATGATTTCCAACCAGAATTTACAAAATAAAAAGAAATGCGATATTATTTAATAAATTCTAATCAGTAGATCGCGACCTACTAATTGGAGAACAAGACAAAGAGAGACTAGAATTTTTATTAAGTTTTTACGATTAGATATTATATAATAAAAATATATTATATAAATTAGAAATATCGTAAAATTTTCTTTAAAATTTTATATATAAAATATATATCAACATGATTTTAGATTTATTAACACTCATAATTTATTCATAAAAACCGTGCAAACATTCAACTCAGAAAATCATTATATCAATTTAATTACTTACATTAAATAAAATTGTTCATTAGTTGTAAATTTTATTCATATAGAAACAATAATAATCTTATCATTTATACTAAAAATAGTTACATTTTAAAGTTTAAAAATAACATTTATTTAAAAGTTGTTAGCTTACTCCATAAACAGTAAACAAAATTCAAGAACAAATATTTCTCCATTTTAAATTCCTACTTCTTGTATGTTACAAGGTTAATAATCAAAAAATATAACGAAACAGCGTAATATATTTAATAGTAAAGTTATATTAATTTTAAATAAATTCGAAATTATATTGTGATAATAGTTTGTATTTTTACAAAGAAAACAAGTTGCTTTACTCGAATAATATGAGAGTGTAGCACGGAATATAAAGTGTATTTATTCTATTTTGTGCCTTTGATGAGACTGGCCGTATCACAATTCGAAGTTAAGTGGATCACTGACATTTTCAATTGCTTAAGAATCAAAATCTTTGCAAATCGAGTAAAAAAACCCCTGCATTTTGCACTGTCACAGACGTGAAAAATGAACGAAAATGTCATTCAATTGTCAGTAATGTTTATAAAAAGAATTGATGTCAAATTTAAACGAATCTGGTCAATCAAATAACAAAAAAAATATATACTGTACATTTAAAATAGAATAGATTTAAAAATATATTTTAATCTAAAATAAATGAAATTATTATAATTATTTAATAATATTGAAAAATTGTTAACAGTATTTAATCTTTATACATAAAAATAACTCATAATGATTGAAACACCTAAAAGTTTTTGATGAAATTTATAACAAAATTTAATATAATAATTTTGGATAGGATTTCTTTGGATACATATTTTTTGGAAAGCAATTTTTTGAATAGTTATTTGGAAAGTTCATAAAGTGTCACCCCCTCACGTCTATGTTTGACATATAAAGTAAGCTCCATGTAAGATATAAAACTCAATAAAAAAGAGACTGTTTTATATATGAAAAATTGTAATTTCATCACATAAAAATTTATCAAAGTTCACATAATAAATATGTAAGTAGGCCTACTTCCAACCGATCTCTTGATATTTTAAACTTTTTGAGTTGTATTCTCGACAGAATATTAATGTATTGAGTCAATTTTGACGTAAAATTATAACTTAAATACAATTAAACGGTATTACAGATGTGATTTATAGCAATGTATTAAGAGAAAAATAATAAAAAGTTAACTTTATTTATGATACAGTTTTCTGTAACTAACCTTATAAGTAAGTTATCTCGGTACAAAATTAGTTTAAAAAATGATTTCTTTTAACGATTTAGAATCAATAATATATTTTATTCAAGCTCTTTATCATGTTAATTTCTTCATAAACTGACAGAAATACATTAGAATACTTTTATAAAGTTATAATCGAATAAGTTTAATGTAAACAGAGTTTCTAAATCTAGAAGTTTTCTCATCTCCATTTCTGTCAACCGATCTCTTTATTGAAAGACGTCATTCGAAACTTATCAACACATTCTCGTTCAGCATCATTCATCATCAGCTTCAAGGATGCAGTAAGACATCTTCTCAATTAAATTTAAACAAAATTTTCTAGGAAACCAAAGATTGTTACATCTTATATACTTTAATTCTTTTATATTTATTTACCTGATAGTTATATTTACTATCAAAATATAATTTATAGAGATTTTCATTCATTTCTCCTTGCTTTTACACGATTTCCTTGCTTCTTGGGTAAATGTATTCCACTTGTGTAATCCATTTCTACGTTGTGTTGAATTTTCTAGGCTACAGGATAAGTAGATCAAAGTTGTATGAAATATATTTACATATACTTTACTAAATAAAATTTTAAGTTGTGTAAATAATTCAGGAATAAATGTCTCAAAAATTTTATAACAGACAACATTCACAGTTTATTTATGAAAGTTAAACATTGTGTATAACACAAACTGACTTTGTATAAAGTGAGTAACGAGATATTGAAGTTCTGTAAAACATCATAAAATGAATTTAAACCGAATAAATATAAGTTTAAAACATATATAAACTTCTTCTGGGCTTAATAAATTTAAGACTTAAATTCCACGTAACAAAAATTATATTATTAATTAATCAGAATTTTAGCAGTTTCCACGTCGGATGATGCAAATCTTTATTTTTTTTTTTTTTTTTTTTTTTTTTTNATTTCATTGTTTACTGATTTAGAAAGCACCTTTGTAAATATAAATTTAATTTAAAAAGCAACTATTTTACTTATTTTTTTTATAAGTAGGGTTTTATAGGTCTTAAACACACTTTTTAATCATACATTAAATTAATTAAAATAAGATTTAAAATTAATTTCTGATTTACAAAAGCAAGTTAAATAAAAGCTTTAAAAGTAAAATTTTATTTATATATTTTTTTAAACCAAAAGATTTTAAACTTTATTTTCTTATATTTCTGTCCTCCTTTCTATGTTTGTTGCCGATACTCAACTACTATTTTCTAGTTTCTGAACGTTTGTCATGAGACTAGACAGTAATACTATTCCCATAACGGCTCCACTTACTAAAATATACAAAAATTTAAAATCGATTTTATCATTTTAATATCGAATATTTTACCATCTTTTATATAAATTCTATTTACTGAAGCGAGAAATTTAAACACAACTGAATTCTTCGATCGTGTATGATCTTTTACTTTCTCAGGGTATTTTTAAAAGTAAATAAGCTTATAATTTTAAAACATATGTTCGATTTTAGATTTTTGGACAGTTTTTCCACCTGTTTATGTTAAGAAATTCGATATAATGTTCTTTCTTTTTATGTTTTAAGTAGTTGAAACAATGTTTTTAATTTTGTTATTTGGATGTCGACTCCAATCCTTGTTAGCAATATATTAATCGCCTTGATTAACTTGGCTCTTGCTCATATCCAGTTAGAAGCCAAATTCTATTGTTTCAATGATTAAAACTACTTATTGCAGTTCACAAAGTCAATTTTCTCACGGTTCATAATCTTAAAATTGTATACAGAAAGCTATTGTTTACAGTTTATTTATTTATCTAAATACAGATTTCTCTTCAATTTTATACTTAAATTATTATATTATTTTATTATTGAAATCATTTTTTTACATTATTAATTCATTTTTATAGGTAAAAAATTATATTTAATATCATTCCAGACATGAAAGGCGTTACTTTGCTGTCATGAACAGCTGCAGCTTTCATTTATATAGAGGTTAGTAAGACTTGGAAATATTATTGTTATTAAATGCTTGATTTGAGTTATCATTAGTAGCTTAATATTTTAAAATATATGAAATTAACTTATTTTTTATAGTTTTTAATAAAATATATTTTAAAATTTCAGGATTAATTTAAAGCTTACTCCAGCTTTCATTTATACGCTATTTTAAAGTTTTCTATACAAAAAAGATAGTAAAATATATCACTAAATTTACTTTTTATTTTAGTAAATTAGTGAATAATCTTATAATTAATTTATTACAAAATTTTCAGAGGGAAAAACACTTGAAAATATTACATATATAATATATATATATATATAAATCCAATTTCTTGGTAGATATTAGCAGACATTTTCAAACATTCTAAACTAATTTTAAATAAGTTTAAATAGTCATGTAAGTAGCTATTTAAGAGTACTTAAATTTATTTTATGACTACATCATTAACAAGCTGCCACCATTATTTTCCTTCGAAATACGAAAACAGTGATACAACTGTATAAATCAATGTATAAAACAGACATACATCAACAACAGTATTTTTTTAATAAAAATTGACTGTAAATCGCCATTATACACGTTTAAGTCTAAAAAATACATATAAATCATGAATAATTCGTAGTGATACTTCATATAAATTACAGAAATAGCTAGAAACGAAGAGTTCAAGTTTCCACACTCCTTTTACTGTAAATTTTCTATATATCTACTCACCTACATTGCAATTACATGTTATACGACAACGATTTATATTAATATTAATAAAACGAAGGTAAATTGCTATAAAGATACCCAAGCATGGACAAAAATACGGACGAGTAAACTAACATTGGCATATTTTATAAATCACTCATATTAGCATAATTATGCAAGCGTATGAACATAAGTACCTACTGTATGGTTTTCTATTATTTGTTTATAAACACAAAAACAATTGTTAATCCACATGTAAATTATATATAATATTATAATAATAATTACTCTAATTATTATTTCATTTAATATAAAATGGTTCAATTAATAACATAAATTCTATGAAACACTAATACGTTACAATCTATAATATAGCATAAAAGCTATTAAAATAGCATTATGTAACAAACTTATAAATTATATATAAAAGCCTGTAAGCCCATAAAAACTTAGATTGTTCTTATAAAATAAATAATCGAATATAACTGATTAATCTCTTGATGCAATAAATTTATTAACTTAGAAATTGCCTATTTCCAATCTATCTCAAAACTAATTTCTCTCCAAAGATTATTATCAAACTAAAATTAGTTTTATGAATATATCTTAAAATTTGTTATTTTTTTTAATATCAGTAACTCCATAAAAAATTTTAACATAATTTAAAATTACATTATCGTAAAGAAAACCCAGAAAAATATTGAAATTATTTTCAACTTTATTGTTTAGTTCATTATAATCTTGCATTTTACAGTGCATTCGAGTAAACATCTTAATAAATCTGACGAACATTAAACTGTATAATCTTGATATTTTTTCCTATTACACAATTATCGTGAAAGGAAAAAAAACAATTTAAACAATAAAAATTGTTACTTGATACGTAGGATGCTATTTTTTCGTATCGAATTTCTGGATGAATTACATGTCAAACTGATTTATGTGTCGAAAGTTAAATGTGCAACTGTGATTTTTTTACCTTAATACTTTCGGAATTGTGTTACTATTTTGGCAAAAATTATTAATTACGTCGAAGTTTAAAAAATTTCGAAAATTTTTGGCAATAGATTTAATGTTTAAAATATAACTTTTAGACGTAAACAAACTAAGATGTCTGATTGAAAAAAAAAAATTTTAATTTACGTGAAATTAATAATGTAAAAGTATGTATATAATAATAATTAATAATTTTTAAAATTATTTTATTAATTAATTAGAATTTTTTCAGATTTTATTACAATGTAAAATGCAATATTTTTATCATAAAACAAAAAATTTTTATTTATTTATTCGTCATTCTTTTGGATAAAAATCTCAACAAACGAATCTTTTAGAATGAGTGTAAGAATGGGTTATTAATTTTTAAATCTACATAAAATTAATAGTATGCCATTTCTTACATTTTTATCGTTAATAATAGCAGTTTTTTTTTTGCATAAATCGTACACCAATACCAAATAGTTTCAATGTATATTGTAACTATTTGGTATTTGTATTATGCTACAACAAATCTGGTCAATATAAAACATATTATATATTTCAACCAATTTAACTAATATAAGATATTGTATTAATTTTCAATTAACGTAGATCTAACTGATAATTAAATGTGCCATTATGCTCCGAGCAGTCTGAGCAATCATATATTAATAGTTTCTAACAGTTAACTCAATACAAACATATTTTTATGCTCTAATCAGCCCAATCAAAATGTCATTTAAATTATACTCTAACTAAAAGAGAGAAATACTTCGATCTTGTCATAACAAATGTATTATATACACATATTATTTATAATGTGATCAATATACTAATAAACTAATACTAATTCTTGAGCTAACGAATATAGATTAGTATAATGTACAGTACAATGTATTATGCCGCATGATATGTAGTATAAAAATCCGAACAAAACTTTGCATACATTTTAAAAATCAAGATAATACACGGTGGGGCACCTGACAGTTTTATTTTATTACTACAAATTTCACTGCAAGGTTGTTGTTAGTGGAATACACTAAATCCACTCAGAGCAGTGATCATCGAGAGCCGGTCTGTACGGGACTGTGTTGCTACGGTAGAAGCATCCATAAAAATCAACTATGTCACAGTTACACAACGAGAGTTTCGGCGTTATTTTAACGAACGATATGCCCTTTCAAGAAACACTGTGTTGTTGTGGGTTAGGAAATGGCGGAAAGAAAATTCAGTGTGTGATTCATGACATTCTAAAGAACATTCTTCACCGGGTAGTGGGTTTCCTTGGAACCGGAATGGAATAGTGTTTGAAGAATCAGGTGGCCGTCTCATAGACATTAGATATAACCGAAGGACTATCTTAAACTCCTTTCCATTGGGCATCTTTTTTGTTGGAACAAAATCTGTTTGTGTTGAAGCACGTGAGTGTAAAGATTTGTTGATTTTCAGTTGTTTATGTTCCATTCTGTATTAACTTGGTAAGAATAATTCAAGCATTTTATAGATATATAATAAAGAGAAACGTGTATATTAAATGTATATAATAGTATAACATCGATCATAATGATTAAAGCATGATAGTACACCCGCATTAAGTATTATCATGCATCATTATGTATATTTAATAACATATATAACATATGTTACTAAAGCTACGTAGAACACATATATGTACTATTTATTAGGGATTGTATTCAGGTAAAAAAAAGGTAAAATCTCCATCAACAAATAGCGTAACTTTCCCGGCAAAAGAGTTAAAATTGTGTATGGCGTTATCTGTTATGAGGTTTTATTAAAAACTTTTTATATTCTTAATTATTGTAAAATGGCAAAATGCTTAATTTTTGAAGCAGAGATGAGTTTTATTTTAAAAAATTGTAAATGCTAATAACAAGTAAAATCTTTTTATTCCAATGAAACCGTGTTTTATATTTTGTTGCTTACACATGTAAAAGCAACAAAAGTAAAATCTTCATTAATCTATCTCCATTCGAGACATGACACGACCTCATCCTTCGACCTTTAACGACCAAAATTTAATAGTAATCAATATTTCAATATACAAACCTCCCGGCAAAATTTAGAAATTTTCGACGAAAGGCATAGAAATAGAAGTTATTAAGCTTCTATATGGACGAAAAAATCGTGCCCCTCAAATACACACTAGAATCCATACATAGACAAAAAACTCCCGAATTTTTTTTGTTTGCATTTCTCGACATTTCAAGGCCCCCTGAGTCGAAAAATATAAAAGTGTTGGGGTGAGTTTTTGATCGATCGCCATACTTTCCCCCTGTTGTATATAACTCCCAGGAAAGTAAAATGCATCGTTAAATATATCGGGAAATTCGATAAATAATAGATAGATACATAGTAATTTCTTGAAGCCAAATATTTATTTGTTTACACTTTCACCTACAATACACTTATATTTTCATATATTAAAGACAAAGGCATAAAATATTTTTATTTAAACCGCAAATGTAGTTTAAGATTTAAGTTTAAGTTTAACAGATAAATGACTGTAGTAATTAAGTAAATAATCTGTTAAATGACTAGTGAGGTAATTTTTGCATTTGAAGTCAAAATTTTAAAATTACTGGTTATTTATCGGTAATTTTACATTTTGAAAATTCACCGTATTGCCGGTAATATAAAAGTCAATAAATTTGCAATCCCTATTATATATCTAACAAATACACTTTCAATTACTATGTTTTATCCTGGAGAAATAAAAAATAAATTTAAAATAGTCTATGTTACAGAACAGGTTACATAATAATTATTCAGTGTTAGATTATTCAATCATTAATAAAAAAAACTATTGTAATAATAAAAAAAATTAATTAATTAATTGTCATGAAGAAATATGGGAGAAGTGATCTATTATATTAATAAAAAAAATTGATTTAGGAGCATCATTATAATTTCCAACTAAAAGTTAATGAAGTTTTTTCTTGATTCAATAATTTGGTTAAGGTTTCCAGCTGAGTTTATTTCAATAATTATCTTTATGATGTCAGTTTTCTACTCCAATTAGTTTTCAGAAAAGATAACATTTCATTCCTTCAACTGAAAATACTTTTATTCACAAAATTTCTGAATGTGAAAAATAGGAAAGAAGGATTTAATGAGTTTTAATAAAGAGCAAAATATTCTGATACTTGAAGCCTTTAATATCATTTACAGTTATAAGTAATATAAATTTTGTATCAGATTTAATTTAAGGAGTTTCTAATTTTATAATTTATTATTTTTTATTATTTTAAATTTAAAAAATTAAGTTATTAAATAAGAAAGTAAACTCATTTGAATATAGCTTATTTTATATTTTTACTTGAAAAGTTATATTGTATATGTTATTGATGTTATTGATTAATGATCATTTTTCAAATAGACTGAAAGTCGCAATATACTGACAAAAAAAATTATATTTTAGCAAGTTTATGAATTTATGAAAAAAATTAATAAATAAAATTATTTTACAATATTTTTCACCTGAATTTTGATGTATTGTAGCTTAATATCAACTTAAAAGTTATGTAGACAAGAGATTATGTAGTTATCATGAACTGAATACACTTTCTTAATATTAAAAACTAATAGTAATGAATTATGAACATCTTATTTAAGGCATATTCTCTTTTAGAATTACAAATTTGAATTTTGCTTTCAAAAATGTCAGGAAATTTCTTAATCCTCAACTCGTTGCAAACAATTAGGCATACTTCTCGAACAATAATTGATTAACTGAAACATTTTATAAGTGTGAGTGACATTACTTGTGAAATTGTTCACATTGCTGCTTTTTCAACTACAGTAAAACCTGTGTAAAACGGAATTGCACGGTATCAAATATTTTTTTTCCGTTTTGGCAAGTTTCCTTTTTGAACAAGTATTTTCTTAATTAACATAGAAAATCCCTCCGTTCCGAAGAATTTTTCCGTTTAGGCAGGTTTCCGTTTTATTCAAGTTTTGCTTTGGACAGGTTTTACTGTAATGAATATTAGTTTATAACTAAAAACATTTTTTATGAAAATGATCTTGATCAAGTTTTCATTGAGAACGAGTGATTATTTTCGCGCGATTTCCATCTCCAACTTCAAAATGATAATTAAATTTTATTACAAGCTGCTAAGAATGGAATTTTAATGGCTAAATGACTAATGACTAATTAAAAACTCGATATTTTTCAGAATTATTACTGAATTAATATTAATGTAATAAAGTGAAACACATCGCTGCAAATGGAGATCAAATATCTAAATGTTAAGTAGAAAAGTTTTATTCAACATTTAAACAAGTTAATTTTACAAGATTTAAGACAAAATACCGGCATTAAGTACTGAATTGCTACTTCGCTGTATTTCTATAAGCGATATAATAAATGAATATATATCTGTATTAAATTCTTGATGGAGTAATTGGAAATTAAAGTTAATATATTGTAATAAAGCACTGCATAGCTCTAGCGATAGTTTAATTTTTTAAAATAAATTAAAGCTAAAAAGTACGCAAAATTAGAATAAGTTTATCACTATTATTAAAATAAATAGAATTCTTTGTTTCTTTTTCCAGATCATGCTACTAATGAATGAACTTTGATGTGTAGAGGTAAAAATATATTTAAAAAATTTTTGTTTTCAAATTTTATAATTTGTTTATACACATTTTTACAGTCAGGATGCCTTTATTGAATAAAAAAAGACATTAATTGAAGAACAAATCATGGCTGATTGGAATTGCACAGTATATATAAATTGCTCACAAGGACCAGATGAAGAATACATAGCATTTCGTAACCAGACCAGATTTTGGATCCAAAGAGTCTTGGTACCAATTATAACAGTTATAGGTGTAGTGGGTAACAGTATAACCATCATGATCATGTCACGACGTCGCATGCGTTCGTCAACTAATCACTATCTAGCAGCTTTAGGCGCAGTCGATATGTTGTATTTGATATTCAGTTTTATTCTATCTTTATCACACTATCCAGATTTCCATGATATTAAATATTACAGTTATTGGAGGTTTAGACCATTCGTGTTAATGTTGGTTGATACATGCAGTAATACTTCAGTATGGTTAACTGTAACTTTCACTGTTGAGCGCTACATTGCAGTATGTCATCCCATAAAAGGGAAAATATTATGTACAGAATCAAGAGCTAAGAAGGCAATTTTCAGTATTTTTCTCATATGTTTGACGTTTACAGTACCCACACCATTCGAACACAAGATCGACGAATCAAATATACCATTTTTGGACTTAACCTATTCAGATTTGGGAAAAAATCCTTTATACAGAAGAATCTTCTACTGGTTGACGACTATCTTGTTCATATTCCTACCACTAATTTTATTGGCAATATTTAACTCCTTTCTCATACGTTCCCTTCATACTTCAAAAGTTCGTAGGAAGACAATGACAAGAAGAAACGATAACAGAGATTCTTCAAGACAGGAACGCAAAATTACTATTATGTTAGTATCTGTTGTTATATTGTTTTTCATTTGTCAACTACCCACAGCAACTGTACTTATATATCAAACATTTCACGAAGTACCACGCAACAGTAACGAAGACATAATATTTGAGATTTTGGGCAACGTATTTAATTTTTTAATGGGGATCAACGCGGCTGGAAATTTCGTATTGTACTGTGTCCTGAGTCAAAAATATCGAACTACCTTTCTACAGACATTTTGCCCGTGTTTAAAAGGTAGAATTTATCATCTTCATTCTGTGTACCAAAATACCTTGTATACTTCAAACGGTCGAGATAGCCCTCGAGTTTCACACAAGACTCTATCTCTGAAAGAAGAGAATGGTAAAATTTTGATGGACCAAGAAGCCAATTTGAGCGAATATTCTGGATCGTGGAAAGGAAAAAATCCTCAGCAAGTGGTTTTCCGCGGAGGAATGCCGCCAAGAGAATCGGACTGTAATCTCTAACATTCTATTAAAATTATTTGCTTATAGTACTAATATATATACATACATACATATATATATATATATATATATATATATTTCTGATTTAACATATCGTTCGTTTAAGCACCCAAATGTGTATGTGTTCATTATGTTGTAATAAATGCAAGTGGCTAATGTTTGTTGTAACTTTTTTACTTAACGCTATAGAATTTTAAGAAAAATATTCTAATATTTCACAGTAAAAATAATCATTTTAATAAATACAAGCATTAACGATTATATTTGAGATGAAGGAAGTTAAAATCTAAACATTTTCAATAACAATTTAAAAATTATGGATATAATTGTAGATAAAAGAAAAACAATAGTAAAAATTAATGTTTACCATTTATTTTAAAATTAATTTACTTTCAAATTCAAAAACTTCATAAAAAAGGGAAAGATTTAAATGGAATTTACATTAAGCACTGTACAACGACAGAATTAATACTAAGGAAATCGTTGTTAAGGAAGTTATCGAAAGCGAAACGTTGTATTTCTCTTAAATTCAGTATTATAAGTTGCGATTTCATTCTTCGAAATACTGCTTTAACTATATAACAGAGAAAACCAACAAAAAACTATAGTAGTTAAATGCTATATCTTATACAATGATAAAAAAATAAGAATAAAAAGTTTAGATCGGTCGTAAATACCAGACTTGTAAAGTACTATTCATTGTAATTTAATAAATAAAATATTGAATACCTAAAGGTTATTCTTTAAAAAGGTAAAACACATTTCTTCAAGTTTTAATAGAGATCTCGCTTGATAATATCTAAATTTCTTAAATAATTTTCTAAACAAATTTTTGATGTGAATTTTTTGTTATTTTTCAATAGAATACATATTTTGTATCCCATGTATTATGTACCAGTTTGTTAAATCGCATCAAATTACATTTAAAAATGATACGAATTATTTTTACATCGGTTGAAAGTGAATAGTGTCTACGCTAGGAGCGGGCAATACGAACAGTTGCCTGGGGCGCCAAATCAGAAAGAGCATCTTTTCGCTCTTGATTTGAAAAAGATAATGAACTACAATTGTTATAAAGACATTTTCAAGAAAAATTTTTATAAAAATCAATATCAGGAAAATCTAAGAATGTAGCTCTTTTCCAATAGTTGTCTTTCTTTCTAGTCTTATGCTTTCGTCACGTAATCCTTTCCTTCAATCACAGCATTGTTAAGTGCTCGCGTTACGTTCATTCGCTTTTCTAATTTACTTTTCCCGTTGTAACGAATTTAAGACACGATAAAATAAACGCGTCCTCGAGTTAACGCAGTTTTATTACATACAAATGACGCCATTTAACACGCTTATTATTATGCTATATTTATTTTTTCTCGTGTAATCGTGATCGTGGTACTCACATATTTAGAATTGGCCCTAAAAATGAAAAGCGTGCCTGAAAGAGACACAGATATTTGTCTTTGACTGGTAGGTTTTTTTTTCTTTCCTCCAATTGGCGATAAGAAAACGTCTCGAATTTAAAGCGAAAACCGAAAAAATCGTTAAATAAAAAATATCAATATTACGCTGCATTAACTATCTGTACTCTAAAAGTTGACTTAAGTTCCTGTTACGGGCTATACAGGATGTAACAGAATAGCATCATCTTTGAAAGACCAGTTACAGCAATTAAAGCAATGTGTTATAACAAAAGTTTTTGGTTACATTATTATAGGGGAGACCGGGGCATGATCGGCATGTTAAGCTTTACTTAAATTTTGTGTAATAAATACTGCTGTAAACTGAAAAAAAAAAGCTTTGCATATTGTCTATTGGAATGTTACCTTACTATAGAACTGGTTAAAATCAGTTTGGACATAAAAATAATTACAACTTTACAAGAAGAGAGAAATTGACGAAGTTGCCCCGGGTATAGGGGCAAGATCGGCAACTTCTCTCTTTTTGTAAAGTTGTAATTATTTTAATTATTTTTATTAAAGTTGCCCCTGGTATAGGGGCAACAGTAATGGGGCAAGATAGGCACGTATATAAAATTATGTTATTAACAATGTATAAGTTGGAATTCACTATTAAAACAAAGAAATACAAATCCAACACCCATTTAATATTATTACAACGAAATGCAAGTTCAAAGACATATATACATGAATAACAAATGCAAACATGTTTTCATTTGTTATCTGTTTGATTTTTATCCTTTGCTTCTAATGTGGCTTTATGTTGCCGATCTTACCCCGCTAGTCATGATTTAGAAACATTAAATACAACCCTGAGAACAGAATGCCAAGCCACGATCTGGCCACGTGAATAAGTTGAAGTTACATCCTTCTAACAGGAAAAGTAACTTTCGTTATCATGGAATTATAACAAAACCTGCCAATTCAATATAAATGGAAAAAAATATTATATGGAATTGGACGAAAATGAAAATTTGCTTGATAATTCAACTACGCTTGTTAGAGAACAATAAAAACACTACACTCAACAAGCCACCAATAAAACTCAACTGCCTAACCTATAACCAAAGTCTCCTTTTAATTTGTTTTTAAAAAAAGCGCTTGACAAACTTGCCCCGCATGCCGAAGTTGCCCCGGTCTCCCCTATAAATAACGGAATATCGAAAACAACGGAAAATTTCATTAAAAACAGTTGTTAAACGATCTATTCTCCAACAGATGATAAAAGAAGTTACATAATACAAAAATAATAACGATTTTTTAAGATATATTTAATATATAATATACTAAAGTCTAAATATAATTTATATCCACGATTTGAAAAAGAAATAAGTAAATTGGCGAATTTTCGATATTGATAAATTCCATTAAATTCCATTAAATGAGGGGAAAAATCAGTTAAATTTAATTGCCTTTCTTTTGAAATTATTTTGATTTCCGAAATTTTTTAAAAATATTTATTCGACTTTTTAATTACTTAAAAGCAATTAACTACGCTAAAGCTTTATAAATAAATCGATTTAAAAAAACTAGAGTACGAACAAATTAAGAAATAAATGAAAGTGTGTTTTAATAAGAAACCATTCAATATGTTTAACAATATTTTAATTTAATTTTAATGAAGAGAAAAAATGAAAAATGAAAAATTAACTTAAATTCGATTAAAAAATTTCCAAAAATTACACAAAAATCCTCAAGGATTTAATCCAGATTCCACTTTAACTTTTATTATATACAATGCTAAATTTGTAAAATAATGTCTATATTTTTAAATTTAACTCAATTGTATATCATTAAATGATGAAGATAATTAATTATTACAGTTTTAGCATATCGATGAATTATACCTGAAAACGTTAAATATTTTAAACATTAAAAAATATATTCTGTTACGTAAACAAGTATATAAATTAAAAAAATTTAAAATATTTTCGAAAAATATGCATTTTTTTTCATACAATGATATATAAGAATTTTCGAATATTTGAACAAAATTCTGATAGAATTTTTCCTCCATATCATCAACTCTCGAAATTTTCGAGATGTATTCGACCTTATAATAACATTATTCTGTTACGTGAGTGTATAAAAGTAGATTGAAGTTGTTATACACAACAATTTCTTTATTGAACAAATTTCTCAAAGGAAAAAGATAAGTATTTGCTTGTAATAAGTGCTTTCTACGTTTGATTTTTATAATTTATAATAGAAAAACCAAAAAAAATATATTTCTGTTTTTGTTGTAGATACTTCAACATGATTTTTCTTCTTTCTTGATATAACTTATATTTTAATATCTGTATAACAGCACTACAGCAATATTTACCGTAGTAGTAGTCTATATAACATGTCTATACTATATTTGTGCACCTTTACTCCTGTATATAATTATCATTATTGTAGATTTAAATACAATTTATAAATAGATAACCACATAACATAAGTATATACGTCTGCGATATAAAATATCTAAGATATTCCTAACTAAACGAGTTTATCTTAGTAATAATGATGATCTTGCTTAAAATATATTTTTATTAGAGTAATAATATACATAAATGTGTAAGTGCTATATGATATTCTATATATATGAATAATTAATTGAATAAACTAGAAATAAATGAAAAAGTTTTACGATATATCGTATTTTTTTACTGAGAAAACATCAAAAATCTATTTAAGTTCTTTACAAGACGCTGTAATTCCCAATGCTATTGTCCTAACATTTCAACAAATAACCAAAAATAAGTTCAAGATTCACCAGGGACATACTATAAGTGGACTTCTTGGTAATTTTTCTGGTTTCTGCATTATTGAGTGGTGCAAGAAACTTTTTAAATTAACTTTATTTATTTTATTTTTAATTTTAAAAATAGGTTTCTGTTTTAAAGTTTAAATGTTTTTAATTACAATAAAATTATAAATTTATTAACTAATATAATTGTTCATTTATTACGTTAAATGACTCTCGTTAAATGTAATTAGATATCAATTTATAAACTACAATCAATAAAATGATATTGACAATACAATTAATTTATTGTTTTTATGATAATTTGAGATAAAATTATCTAAAAATTTGTTTACAAATTAAAGAATATTGGAAAAGTTTTTATTGATGTTGGAAACAACATCAATTTTGTTTAGTTTCTGTAAATCATTAGGGATTTCTCTGTAATTAAATGGATCTATAATGGTTCTACAAGTATACTTCATTAAGAATTTGTCATTAAATAATAAAAAAATTTGGATACTTGTCAATAAAACAGAATAACATTCATTTGTTTATTTGAAAAATCATCTAAATTTAATTTTTCTTAATGAAATATCCTAATATTTTATGCTTTTCTCATTAGAAGAAAGCAGATTTATAAAAAAAAAATTAAACTTTAGATGCGTATTATAATGCTGAGATTAAAATAAAATTATATTGATTTAATTTACAGTATTTGTAATTTTAGAATATTAAAATTAAAACTTCATTTAATCTTTGAATGTACACTTAATTATTCTTCTATGTTATATACAGTATCTATTTATTTACGTGAATTTCATTAAATTTATATATGAATAAACTTACAGTTTATTTCCGTTATTTTCTAAAGATTAATTCGGTTATTTAACATATAAATGTGCATATATTTCTTTTGAAAAGAAATATATATATAATCTAATTGTCAAATAAATTTTCATGTTTTTT